AGCAACTTTTGCCCATTTGACTCACTTTGACAAACTCGCCCTATAAGTCAGGTCCCTACGATTCTCCCAAAGCACTCGCTCCTAAAGACTCACCTAAAATACTTGTCAAAAGGAGGGGTCATGCCAGAGATAGAGATTTACATGTACACCATCTAACTAATTCACTTGTTTGAGTTAATCTATGTTAGCCACACCGTATACTTTTTTTTCTGTTTATTCTAGATGTACCATTTTTTCTAATCCTCTTAATCTTATAAACATGAGGTGAAGAGATGTTTTTTAGACTTTAAGCTATGAAGATTATCCTAAAAAAATTTTAAGATATATTGCATAATAATTGGCATGAATTTAAAATATTTACTAATAATGTGCCATCTTTTTACTATTACTATTGATTAGGTAATTGTTTGAAGGAGCTGAATCCAACTTTAGAAACAATAAGAAAACATAGTCAGCTGATCCAAGTCTAAGAACAAGTTGTTTACCTTTACAGCAACTTTTTCTTTTTTGTTATAATTGATGGGGTCCTTAAAAAATTATTGCTTGATTTGGTTGGCACATCCCCTTTCTAGATGTCTTCCCCTTTTCATACTTAAACATCAAGCCGTTAAGTATTAACGATCATAATGAAATCTTAAAGATTCGCTAATCTCATAGAAAAATAATTAAGCTAGCTTTCTTCAATTAAGCTGCATTAAAATTTTGAAACTATTGCAAGTCAATAGCAAGTCATTAAGGGATTAATGACAATACATTAAGTCCGTCAATTCTATGACAAATTATCATATAATAAAAGTTTAATTAAGGTTATGAAAATCAGACCGGACAAAAAACCGGAAAAAGGATAAGTTCACGATTCGATGGTTACACGGGATTGAACCGAATGACGTAATATTGAAAATTCTGAGGACACAACGGCCCCAATATTCATGAACTCTTTACAATATTTGGACAATCAATTACATTTGCAAAGAAAATTGAAAATAAAAAAGTTTAATTAAACAATAATTAATAACGCTGGAAAGAAAAAGAAACTAAACATAATATGATACAAGTTTCATTAAAATATTTACAGGAACTCGAGATAACAATATACGCAGTACATTTCGAACAAAAAATCAATCAGCTGCATTTGAAATGAAATTACTTAATATTTGGTCAATCGGTTACATTTTCAATGAAACTCAAAGCAAATAATAGGTTAAAAAGTAGGGTTTCTCCCTTTTTTTTGTAAACAGTAAATCAAGAGAAACAAACCAATTAAGATAAGTTCATAAAACTTTATTGTTCACATACACAAACAATTATACATTATAAAAAATAATACCTAAAAAATTACGGGTTTAAAAAAATCTTATATCTCACAGTGAGACCAACATTGTTCGAATATAACAAGGAGTGCGATGCCGGAAAGGAAGACTACCTGTGTTGAGGAGGTGCCTTTGTCACGATATCACGGTTGTAGATCTTATAGGTACGTCGAGTTCGCAACGAGGATGGAGATGCCAGAAGGAGACAAAAGACGTTCATGCGAACGAAATAACGGTAAGAGAAAAAGAGGTTTAAGTTTCTTAATATTGTTAGTATTTCTTACGAAGCGCTTGATCTAAAATCAACGGCTGCATCCTATTTGAACCATCCAATTTTTTAAAAACAAAACGGATTTTCGGTCCAACGGTTCTGAATGGCAATTCAAGGAGATCATTTCCCTATTGAACTGCTGATCCAGTCCAATTTTTAAAACCATAAGTTTAATGCTATCCATTCTGCTAGAATGTTCTTTCTATCTACAAATTATTGACGTGGTTTAAAGTATAATCCAGCAAACGGTGTTTGATTTAAAATTTTTATATTTTCCAATTGGAGAAAATCCCTATTCAGACCTTTTGCTTTCTTGACTACAATATTTTTTTTATTTTCTTCTGAAAGAGAAATGATATTCGTTCCAAAGCAGTACAGAGTAATTAAATGAACAATAGCTATATTTTTAAATAATCAGAGAACTCGAACTGTTTCAGATTGAAATATTCATATTTGAACTTACAATATTACTCTTTAATAATTATTTATTTAACTATTTTTTGTTACTATCATTAAACTCATTTCAATTATTTAGACTTTATATATTGAAACATTAGTCCTATGGGACCTGTTTAGCATATCATATTATTTTTTAGGGTTTTAAATTTTGATCTAACGAAGCACAAATTTTGACGCTGGATTGTGGATCTTAAAGCACTAAAACTATTTTGATATATTACTATATAAAGATGAAAATATTCCTCTTAAAACTAGGGGTGTTAATATTTGACACGATCCGAAAACCTGACTTGAATCCGACCCGATAATTCCGGGTTAGGGTCAACCCAAACCTGAAACGGGCAAGGTTCAGGTTCAACAATTTGAACTGTTTCAAAAAAATCGGGTTGGTTTCGGGTTGACCCTTTGGCCCAAAATTGACCCGAAACCCCATTTTAGACCCCAAATTGACCCGTTTTCGACTTGTTTTTGACCAGAAAAGCTGAGATTAACCCGTTTTTTGACATGAAAACTAGTAATTTTTTGTTGGCCCCGGATTCATTCGAGTCGTGTCGGGTTGACCCGAACCCTAAGCTTGGAAGACATTTTGATACTTAGAATTAACCCCTCCGGTTGAGATCTACATTCAACACGGCCATTATAGAGGTATTTGGAGTTATTTTCATTTATAGTTTGAACCTTGTCGACCCTATCAACTTGTCGACAGGGGATCAGGTTTCGTAGGCTTTATGCCTTTGTTAGTGAATTTTCATTATTATAGGCCTTGAAGGCCTAATATGAATGTATAAAATAAATATTTCGGTCAACCTCGCGACCAAATATTTATTTAAGGGTTCGAGCCTTGTCGACTCCCACTTGCCTGCAAAGAAGGATCGGGCTCGGACTTGAATCCACTTATTGACCCGTGTATCATCCCTCGACGTCACATGTGTCTCTAAAACATGCTCACGGGGGCCCATGCGGGTGTTTGGGGGCATTTTATAATTAAACCCTGTCGACTCCTACTTAGGAGGATAGGGTTTCGTAGGCTTTATGCCTTTATTAGTGAATTCATATTGTTATAGGCCTTGAAGGCCTAATATAAATGCATTAAAACAAATGTATCGATCACCACAACCGTATATTTTTTTAATGGTTCGAACCTTGTCAACTCCTATTGATTCGTATAGAAGGATTATGTCCGAACTTAAATTCACTTATTGACCCGCTCAGCATCCCTAGACGTTACGTGTACCCATAACACGCTCGTCGGGGCCCATACAGGTATTTGAGAATTTCATTGATTTGACATACCCCTTGTGTACCTATGTGTATACAAATTATAGTGCATGTGTAGGGGTACTCTTAGAATATTTGTAAACGTCTTCTGTCCGCTTGCATGAATGTTGTTGATTCAGTGGCGAGGCGTAGCAGCTTCTGGATTGAGTTGTGTGCTGCATTATATAGGTACACTATCGTGCACTACTTGTTACTTTCTATACGTGGATTGTAGTGCACCAACGAATCTCCTGCTTTTGCATACAGGTGAATCGTAGCGTCATCACCTGATTGTAATGAGATACCTCATTGTTCTGATGTAAAACTCCCTTTTCTTATTCACCGTGAGATCTTTGAAATTTGCGATCATTGCCTTGAAAAGAACCCCTTTTAAGGTCTATAGTGTGGTAAACTGGTTATTTCTGGTATTTGTGGACACCAAAACTATTTTCTTCTTAAGTATAGGACTAAGAAGAGACTTTGGAACACCAGCAACTATTTAGTTCTAATTTGGTCAAACATCTCTTCCATTTTTCTATGAGATGTCCTTTTTCGTACATCGGGTCATCTTTATACACGGCGTACTAGCAGCATATCAAACACCGCTGTCGTGGGTGATATCTGTACTTGTATCCACAAATCGTTGTACTTATGATATACTCACTGTTGTTATCTACAAGTGACTCGTGTTTATTTACAGGGCCCCACTGTGTTCACTACGGCTTCCTGGAGATGTTCGTAGAGGAGCCATTGTTCATGCATCATGTCCACCTTTTACCAATCTCAGGTGATTTTGATGATTGCACTCGTAAGCCCGTTGTGATTGTGGCGAATTTCCCTTCACCGCGAACAAGTATTCGTATCTACAATAGATCTTCTTACATTTTTCTTGTATTCCTCCTTCACGCATATCAACCAACGAATCATCACATTCATTGTAAATCTTTACTTGTAGGAGGGCGGGGTATTCAATTATAACCAAATGATATTGATTATATCAAAGATTGCATTTGCTTCGAACTCTTCGAACACACCTTTACTGTTAGCTCGTTGTAATGTTGAGTTCTTTTGTCACTCGCAAATGAGTTGCATTGAACACGACAAGTCTTTTATATCTTTGAATTGTCGCTTATAAGTGCATTACCACATTTCCCCAACATTCATGTTGCTCATTACTTATGAGTAGAATATATAAAGAATTTGCTCATCATCACTTGCAAAGATTTGGCACATTAGTGGGTGGCGAAGTGGCATTGAACTAAGCCTCCAATCACCTGCCAACTACAGTCATTAAGCCCACACTCCAAAAAAAATCATTCATTAGATAAATAAATAAAATTACTGTTAAAGTATTAGAAATAAAAGGAATCACCTAGAAGAAATAGATTGTATTTATTTAATATGCATGTTTAATATGTCATATAATACTCGCATAAATTATGAAAAATCAGAATTTCTTAAATCCACCCTACACATTTTTTGGATAAGATTGATAATGATGAAGATGATGATGATATTATATGATGATCTACATATAAAAAATTGTCTTTTAACGTAAGAATCATGAAAACATTGAAGCATTGTAAATCTTATCAAAATGTATCAAATATCTCAAAATAGTAATACCTCTACTAAAAATGGACACTCAAAATGAAAAAGGTCAGAAATATATCAAATATATGAACTCAGAAGTGAAAGATCAATGGGCACTCAGAATGAAAAGGACTAATAATATGTCAATCAAAGATTCAAAGAATCTTACAGATTGTTAATAATATATATTCCTCATTGTGCCATGTAAAATATTAAGAAAATAATAATAATAAGCGCAAAAAAAAAAAAATCTAAAAAAGGCAGGCGAAAAATGACAGTGCAAACAGAAATACTAATTTAAGAAAAAGATTTTAAAACATAAATAATGAAATAATACTCCAATTACTTGATTTTTACAGGATGAGGCAAACATCAAAAGGGGAAAAGCCCAAAAATAAGCTAGCAATATTGAGGTTAGTGAAGCACCACCCATACCTACGCATCCTACTAGACGCCAAAATATCTTCGCAGTCAGTTCAACCCACAGCTAGGGAAAAATCAAAACAACTCAATCGCATACCACTGTCAGTTTAATACACAGCCCATACTTTACTAATACATATTTTACTTATAAGAACCCCAAATGAAAAAATGGGCATATAATGCACACATGGATGCAGCATTGTAAGGATGCTTAATTTTTTTTTTCAATCACGTTTACAAGGCATGAGTCCTAAGGGATTAAATGCAGTAAGATAATTGACATTGCAATCAGTCAAAATCACTCAACCTCAATCATATGGAGAGTAATTATATGGTTTTTCAGAATGACGGGTATCATGGCTTTAAGCTTTGTTTAGGTGGAAGATTCTAAATAAGGAATAATTCTGAGAAAGTTAATTTCATTGGTGATATATCATCAAAAAATTATTCTGATTAGGCATGAATCTTGAGATAAATTCTAATTGGAAACTTTCGAAATTAAATTTGGAGCCATCCAAACTCCAATTTCAGCAAACTTATAGTCAAATTGATCATCTCGAAGAGTCGAACCTAACGACACAAAAATCAGTCCAATCTGAACCCAAATGGGTTTGAATTAAGGGTCCAAAGCATATTTGGAAGCTTTAAAGCATAAATAGGATGATCAAATGATATCCAAATATAACATTCTTATAGTTGAATCCACGGGCTCGATCAAACGAATCCAACGAGCCCAAGATCATCGTATTCTGACATCATTAAGGCACTCAAATGCTCGATAACGGTTATGATCAAGTGAATCAATATCAGCCATACATTAAAAACACTCCCAACATGCCCTTGATCTTCTCCCTATTTACTAATCATGTCACTCCCAAAAAAATTATAAATAAACCCCTCATTCTTCACAAGAGGGGAGGGAGAAAAGAAGAGGAAAAAGAAGGAGAAATATGAGATCTCTCTGGCCACCAAGCTCCTCAATCACTGTCCGGCCACCGACTATCGCCATACTTATGCTCGCTCACCAGTCGTCACCAGACTTCTGCCTTGCCACCGATCGTCAGCTTCTTATCCGACACTTTCCAACAACTCAACATCCTAAACCATCAGCTTGGCGTCTTCCTCTTAGGAAACTCACATTCACAAAAGCTCAACATCGATAACTTCCTCCTCAATAACTCACATTCTCACAACTCACCTTCCTAACACTAGCCAACAACTTTGCAAACTAAAGTTATTGGCTTGGCATCTACCTCCTCGATAACTTGACTTCTTTACACATACTAATAAGCTCATCACACTAGAGTTATTATCTCGGTTCAATCCTTTTCAATGACTCACCTTCCTGGTATTTGTCAATAGCCAATTTAGAGTTGTCAACTTGAGGTAAATTTACTCCTTTCCATCTTAGAAAGTCATTGCGGGAAGAACGACTTATCAACACCTATGCCGACCTCTCAACACCATCATCTTGCCTCCCCATCAACTCAACATCCCAAAGATTCTGGCTCAACTTCCTTGACCAACTTTATGGCACATGTCACGACTTAACATCTTCCCATGTACAACACATCATGTTTTCTCCTCCCACGTCGAAGTTGATCGTTGTCTTAGGATTCACCTCTAAATTAGCTCTCATGAGTATGCACACTGTCATCCTCCATGTGCTTGTGTGATTTATGCCCACCACCATCTTTGGATAAGCAATAAAGTCGTGACTTTTCTTTATCACTCCCCTAACCACCGACTTGAGGTTAAGAGATTACTAGAGGGTGGTTTCACTTTATGCTCCACTCGAGCATCCTTCTCAAGGATTATTTTCATGTGTCAATTTCAAGTGCAACCTTTTTTTGTCCCATTGGGGTTTGTCTCTTAATTTTGGTGCTTATTCTTCTCATCTTCCAGGATCCATCAACACAGCATAAAGCTAGTGAACCATCTTCTGGTTGGATTCTTGACATCTCCCATGTTACCTGCCCTCTTCCATCATAAAGCTACTGAACCATCTTCTGATTGGATTCTTAACATCTCCCACATTACCTGCCCTCTTCCATCCTTGAGTGTGCATTTCAAGCCCTTCCATTGTCTTCACAGGTATCTCAACCTAGTAGACCCTTCCTAACCAATTAGGGGTGTCAATATTTGACATGACCCAAAAACCCGACTCAAATCCGACACGAAAATTTCGGGTTCGGGTACTGATTTTCAACCCATTTTGAATTTCGGGTCCGGTTCAAGTTGACCCGGAAACCGGGATATGACCTGGTTCTGACCAAGAATACTGTAGTTTGGCGTATTTACGGGATTTGGCCATTCGTGCGCTTAGCTCCCGTCGTTGTTTCCGATCAAAATGTTGTAGCTTCCTATCTAATTCGAATGGAATATCCTTCGTGGAGCGAAGCCGAACAACACCGAAAAAAAAGAGAAGAAAAAAAGCGAACCCTAGACGCCTCTAAGCGCACGAAAAAGAGAAAGCTACCTTCGTAGCTTCGCTGCACTCATTTGCAGCCCTTGCTAGGCTTTCTGAGGTGTGATGTGCCCCTGTTCGGTTTTATAAGCCTATAAATATGAGGGTTTCATAGATTCTGAAGTCTAAAGGTTGAAGCCAAGCCATTGTTCATCGAAAAAAGGTATTACCTGTATGTTTCTATAATTTTATCATCTTTAGTTTTTCTCTATGATTTTCCGCCTGGCTAGGGTTTGCTTTTCCTTGTTAACTTGTCTTCTTCACCTTCTCCAACGATGTCGAATAGGAAGGGTTGAAGGAAGGTAACAATCTTTCTCTTTTGGTGCACTTCTTCTCCTAAATACCGTAAATCGGCCAGACTTTTGGATTTTCTAAATTCGGAATTCAAGGCAAAACAAAGAAGTAAAGTCTGCAAAGAGATTTATCATTTTGTAGGATTTAGATTTCGTTTGGAACTGTTTTATTCGTTGTTCTTTGCCTTCTTTCATAAAATTTCATGAAAACTACTGTATCAAACAGTAAGAAAATTGTTTGGCTTGATTTTGTTCAAATTCTTCTTAAAAATTGCTATACCCAACAGCTCGGCGAGGCAGCTGCGAACTCCCATCCTTTCTTCGCTTCCGATCAAAATGTTGTAACTTTTAATCTGAGGAGAAGAGAAGGTCGTCCAAGGAGCTGAGCGAACTAGCGAAGTCAAACAGCGACGAAGGGGACTTAATTGGCGGGTCGGGTTCGGGTTGACCCGAACTCGAAGCGGGTCTGGTTCGGGTTCGAAAAACCGATCCGTTTGCAAAAATGGGTCGGGTTGAACAGTACCGGGTCAGTTTCGGGTTGGACCCGAACCCGACCCGTGATCCGATTTTGACAGCACTATAACCAATAACGCGTAAGGTGGCAAGGAAGGGTCAACTCCCTCCTCAGAACAACCTCAAGTTTCTACAAATAACCTTTAGAACCCTTCAAGATAGGACTTGGCACTTAGTTTAAGAGATTACCAAGATCCTTTTTACCCAACAAGCATCTAGTCAACAGCTCAAGTATAAGGCTTTCTAGCACCCACAAACATCACATTCTTTCTAACCAGGGAAAGCCTCCCTTCAATGGTCAACTAAAGCTTCTCTTAACACTCTTCCCTTAGTATGGACTCCTATGCTATCAGCACTACAAGCTTAATACTAAGAATTATTAACACTCTAAATTGAAAGCATAAGAATTATTTCTCATCAGATGGAATCATGGAAACTAATGACTAATCTCATCAAACCGAGTATAGCACATTAAGTGAAGGTCAAATTATTGAGGGAAAATTTTTGTTGTAATACATCGAAGTCATTGCCATAAGTGTTCTCTTCATTGCATCCATTTTCATTTTCCCCTAAAAATTCATGTCACTAGCAATATACATTACCCTCAATGCATGATGATCAAGCTTAAATATCACATAACCATTATGATAATCTTCCTCCACCAATGGCCGTTTTTTGAAGGCACTCCATCCTTTGGAAGATCTCACATATATTGATCCTCAAGGTACTGTGAGAAGTCTTACAAGTATAAAGCAAAGTAACTTTGATAGGAAATACTTGAGTTCTCAAGTAATCCTATTGGAAATACTTGAGTTCTCAAGCAACCCTATCAATAATCGGAGAAAAAGCAGCAAGAATAATGTGAGAACTCCAAAAAATTATGCTCCAAACAACAGATTTTTATTAGGGAAATCAAAGCAAATCAAACACAAAGCAAGGATACAATTGATCCTCAATTCGAGAGGAGGATCATCTCTCCCAAAATCTCTAGACAAGAGTCTAGAGCCCAAACACCAAAGAACTCCAAGAGAACAAACAATACAAGCATGCCCAGGTTCTTTAAATAGCCCTCTCCACCTCCTTAAAAACTTCATAATATAAGATATTATTTATTTAATACAAAAAATATCAAATCTTTTAATTAATTAAATCCACTTTCCTTATATAAAAGATATCAAATCTTTTTGATTAATTAAATCCACCTTCCCTATTAGCTTGCCGCCTCCCTCTGTCTCTCCTCTTTATGTTGCCAAAGTGGGTCCCACCCCATGAAGAGGTAGTTTGGGCCACCTTAGGTACCGCCGGCCCATCTGAGCGGTTCAATATGAACCGCCCTATCACACTTTTTCTCAATAAACTTCTTCTATCCCTTCCTATCATAGCAAGAGCTTTGCCATTTTTGAACTTATCAATCCCTACCACCCAATCGTTGATAGACTACTTAATGTAGCGAACTAACGTCATGCCTTAAGAGGTCACCAACTGCCTTCATCATTCATTAATACACTA